GCACCACCGGCGGTCCGGTATGGTGCTGTAGAGATGACTGCCTCTCGAGGACAGACTGGCCGGACGGCCGTTACCGGCGTGCAGCGCGCTGTAACCGTGCTGATGCGGGTGATGTGGATGATGCTGATGATGCTGATGTTCCGCGCCGCTGTCCTCGTCCTCGGTGCGGCTGGACGCCGAGCTGACGTAGGTAGATTGCGTGGGTGTTGGCGTGGGTGCGTGGTGCACCGGTGCGACCAAAACGCCATTAGGCTTGGTCCACACGTCCACGGCGGCGGACGGCGCCGCGGTGTATCGCGTCGGCGTGCGATTGCGGTCATTGACCTTCTTGCTGTCGCGCCGCTTGTCGACCGAGTCCGGCATGGCGAACCTCAGTTTTTCCCAGAATCTCTTTTCGCCCCAGATCACTACTGTGCACGTTTGCAGCAGCAGTTGTAACTCCGGATCTCGGGTCGGCGTCTCGGTAGCGAGTAGCACCACCACTCGACGTTTCCGTGAAGTTGGCCTGATGTTCTCCAACGCGGTTCTTAGAGCGGCACGAAACTCCGCGTGCTGCCATTCGTTTGCGAGGAACACCGGCGAGAAGATTATCACGATGCGTCTCGCGGAAGCGGCGGCAGGCGGTAACGCTTCCTGCGGCCTAGCCGGCGGCAAGTCGCGCCAATGTAGGCAGAGAGCTAAACCAGCCTGCTCTAGTTCAGCCGCGAGGAATCTGGAGACGAAATCTTCGTCACGTTCACTATAGATAATGTAACCATCGTACAATCTATCTCTCTCCTCGTCGGGCGGCGCCGCCATCTTGCCGAGTCGCAGACCGTACCGTGCGTGAGCCCAAAGTCGCACATCCTGACGGAAAACGAAGGCCAGAGCGACAAAGAGACAGATTGCGATCACAGCAACCAGAGCGCCGGCGAGCAGAGGCACAAAGTTACTACCTAGCAGCGGAATTTCCTGGATACCGCGGCTCACGGCTTCCGTGGATGGATCACCGCATCGCTCCATTGCCTGGGCAAGAGTCTCGACGCCGTCGCGGCAGTACATCTTCTCCGGATCGCCGCGATGCTCTCCCAGCCAGGCGCGCAATCTGGCAGCGTTCCCACACTCGCAGCTCCACGCGTTGCCTTCCAACGCGACCCTGGTACCGTCACCAACGCTCGGCAGGGCCTCCCACGGTCGGAAATCAATGATACGATTGCTGTCCAGTCGCAGCACTTCGAGATTTCGCATCTTCTTGAAGGTCGTATTGCCCACGGTGGCGATCGCATTGTGATCCAGATACAATTCCGACATGCGCTCCAGTTGATCGAACTCGAAGCCCCGCAATTCTCGCAGCGCGTTATCCTCGAGATGGAGAACGCGTAAGGCACCGACACCGTTGAACGTGCGATTGTGTATCGCAACGATGCCACTGTTGTTCAGATACAGCACTTCCAGGCGACGTTTGCCTATAAAAACATGACTGCTCAGATCACCGAGCTCATTACCGTCCAGATAAATCTCCGTCGCGTCCATGGGTATTCGCTCCGGTACATGTTTGTATCCAGCGTTGGAGCAGTCGACGACGTTGCTGGACCAACTGTGATCGTGATAACATGAACAATTATCGGGGCAGGTCATCTCGCAATCACAGGCGTCGAAGTCGCAGCAATGACAGAGAGCGAAGCAGTGCGTTTCGTATCGGCAGAGAAAGTCCTTCGACTTCAAGGACAGTAGAGAACGCCGCGGCGTGGCGCGAGCGTGTACCATGTCGCACGTGACGGTGTCGAGATCCATAACGCGCGGATACTGACGTAGCCGTGCCATCTCGTTAATCCGCGGCAACCACTCCATGGTGCAGTCACAGCGAATAGGATTGTCTCCGATGTAAAACGCGGGAAGTTCTCTATCATCCGGAACCGATTGCAGACCGAAGGCAGCGATCTCCAGTTGCCTGATCTCGTTGCCGTAGAGCACCACCTTCTCCAGATTCGGCTTTTGCGAGAACGTGCCGGCCGCGATGCTTTGTATCTTGTTGTTGTTCAGAAACAGCATCTCCACGCTGTCCGGCACGTTAAAATCCTTGATGGTGGTGAGAAGATTATAGCTGGCGTCCAGCATCTTTATTCGCAGACTGTTGTGTATCTGATAATAATTCCTCAGCTCGGTTATTTGATTGGCATGTATGTCCAACCATTCTATGCTGGATGGAAGGTAGCTGTAGTCGAACCACAGCAACTTATTATCGGACACGTTTAGCCAAACGAGAGTCGAGAGGCTTGTAAAGGCGCCTCGTATATCCGTCAATTGATTTCCATCCAGTCTTATAACTCGTAATACCGGATTATTCGAGAAAGCACTCTGTTCAACATGACGAATGAAATTGTTCGCTAGATTGAGCACTTGTAACGCTGGCAAGGTGGCAAATGCTTCGCGCGACACATTTTCCAACTTGTTGTCCACTAAACGTAATCCGTAGACCTCGTTCAAGCCTGCGAACGAGTCATTATCGATTCTCGACATTTGATTATTGCCCAGATCGAGAGTTTTGAGCGAATGTAGGACGCGAACCGCGTAAGGGACTTCCGTTAGAGCGTTTCCGCTCAGAGAGAGATCTTGGAGGCTCGTGAGATTGGTGAACACATGCCTGTGCAGGACGCGTAGTCTGTTGCTATCCAGAAAGAGTTGCCCGAGCGCGTTGAGACCGATTGTGTGCACCGGCTCGAATCTGGCGATCCTGTTGTGCGAAAGCGTTAAGGAATGCAGGCTGGTGAGCGAGGCAAAGCAGCCGTCGGCGAGCGTATCGATATCGTTGTGCTCAAGCTTCAGGATCTGCAGGCTGTCCAGACCTTTAAAGATAAATGCGTCGATCCTGGTCAAGGCGTTGAAAGACAAATCGAGGACAACGAGACGGTTGAGTTGCGAGAAGGTGTCCCTCTTCACCCAAAGGCTCGTCAGCTCGTTACTGCTCAGATCCAACTCCTGAAGTTCCTCGAGGCCGTCCAGCAACCCAGGAGCGAGCACCGTGAGGGAATTATTGCTGAGTATTAGCTCTCTTAGCTCTCTCGTTTTGGAAAACAGTTCGGGCGGCAGTGCGACGAGTCTATTGCTAGACATGTTGAGGATTCGCAGGGACGTGAGGCCGGTCAGAGCGTTGTCGCCCACGGAGGCGATCACGTTGTCCTGTACCTTCAGCACGATCAGGCTGTGCAAGTTACTAAGCGCGTCGTCGGGCAAGGCACTGAGGTCGTTATTACTGATGTCGAGTATCTCGAGATTCGGCGTGCAGGCCTCGACCCAATCGGCGAAGCCCAGAGACACGATGTCTTGTAACTTGTTGCGCGTTAGATTCAAACTCACGAGATTCTGCACCGGACAGAACAGTTCCGACGGCAATGTCCAAAGGTTGTTGTCGGAAAGATCGAGATGTTGCAGATTCGTCAGACTGCGAAGCGCGTCACGATGAAGCTCCAGCGTCATGGTCGACCAATCGCTGTTATGCGTTCGCAGGGACAGACTGCGAAGATTATGTACCGGGGTGAATATGCCGCCTGGCAGGTATCGGATTTTGCAATAATCGACGCGCAGCTTCGTGAGACGCGGCAACGGCGAGAGGAAGCTGTGCGGACCGTCGAGCTGGCTTTCGAAAAATAACACATCGCTACATTCCAATCCTAGAGACGTTACGGAATCTATTTGTATCGTCGAGAGATTTCCCATTAGGTCGGGCACGTTCGCGATCGTTCTGACCTGACATGCCAGAATCTTTTCTCCGTCGTCGTCTTCCTTTCTCCACTCGCAGCCGCTCGGAGCCTGCGATAGACTCGTGATGCTGCGCCCGTGCACCGTACAATGATCCAGCATCAGAATGATGATCGCCGGCAGGACCCACGACCACGACGCTACGCGATGACTCGCTTCCATCCTGAACGACATTCCCGTAGCTGGAAGATACTCGCGCGCGGGTGCTCGAGAGAGATTAGTCGTACCGTCACGCACTCATGGCCACGGCACTCTGTGTTTTAACTCTACACTCTCGTTCCACGCCACGCCACGCCACGCCACGCCACGCCACGCCACGCCACGCCACGAGATAGAGGGCAACAAAAAAAAATCACGTTGATTTGTATATGACGCAACACAGCCGATTCTACCGCCGATTTCCTCCGCGCCGTCGGCGCGGTTCACGATTCACACTGGCACCGATGCACCGACGATCCTCGATCTCGTCGTCCGCTCGCGCGAATCGCCCGAGCACCGATCGCTCATCCCCAACGAGTGAGACGCGGAGCGATCATCGGCACAACGAACGAACGGATATCCTACTGTCGTGATAACGACGATATGATTACGTGCGACAACCCGGGTGACGACAACGACTGCGACCCGGGATACGACGACATTCCACCGCGGCGGTCGGAGTGCAACTGACTCCGAGACAGAGTTCACGTTCTAACGACGATCACGGTATATACCCTGCCCTAACTAGCAGCGTGCGGTTGCCTACCCCTTCTTTCCGTACCCACCGTTCCCACCACCGTCGTTGTCGCCCCCCACCATCAGCAGGATGTATCCCTTCCATTTTCCCTCAACGTGCTACACCGGCACCGAGAGACACAGAGACACGGTGCTCGCGAGAGCTTCCTCGGCGAACGTTGAATACCACGGGCGGTATTGCTTGCCTGCCTTCTTGCCTGTTTGCCTGCCTGCCTGCCTGCCTGCCTGCCTGCCTGCCGCGAAGATGCAACAAACCAGCTGACTGACAACGCTTACTCTTCTTTCCTCTCTCTTCCTTCTTCTACTCTTCTCTCTCCTGCTCTCTTCTTACTAGGTAAACATTAAACTGGTTCCTAGACCGGCACCGGCACACGCATTTATCAAGCGGCTTCTCTTCCGAACGAACATTTTTCTCTCTCCTTCATTTCTTCGCGCGAGAAATCTTCGAGCGCCCCTCGGGCGCCTTGTAACGTCCACGACGTCGTCTAATAGGCTAGTGAGATGTCCCACGGCGCCTGTCCGCGAACTTTTACAGGATAAACACTTCGCTTTTTCTGCCGCGATGATTTGTTACTTCTCCATTTCATGGTTTGAACTTTCAACCGGCTGTTTTGGCGATTCCCAAGAGGGGTATTGAAGGCAGCCGTAATGTTGCATGCCGAAAACGGATTTGTTGCATTTTCGTGGCGAACGTGAGTGGATTTCCCGCGAAAAATTTGGAAACAGATCCGTTCGATATAGATATTTTCAAGTTTGCGTTTGGACATACGAACTTGCATGCGTGACTTGCATGTATTTGGATGTCAGTTATGATTAGATTGTTATATGTGGGATAATCGATAACTTCGCTTACTAAATTCGATGAATCAAACTTGCTTGATAAGCTTATTAATTAATAGATTTGATAGATAGGATTTGAATTAGAATAGTTATCGGTTAATTCTAAAGAGTTAGTATTTAATTATTGTTGCATTTCCATTAAGTTTTACCTAAAATTATTTTAAAGATAATAATTTTGTGTAATTTCTCGTAATATTCTAAAAAAAGAAATATATATTATTCGTACGTGGACTTGTGCCAGTAGCTGCCCCTAAAAATGGGTGAAACCTTTAACGCCATCTGCATTTAGAGTACTGAAATAAGCTTTTAGACGAAGGCAGTGCTTTTTACCTATGTTTTATAGATTAAATATTATAGAACATAAAAAGAATTCAAATAACGTAATGGACTGTATTGAAGTATATACATATATATGTGTGTGTATATATATATATATATATATATATAAGTTTTTCCAATAGCTTGCTGATTATTTTCTATTATTTTATTTTTGTGTTTTTCAAAAATTATAGATATCTTTTTGTCGAGCTGGAGATTTTAAATATTTCATTCAAAAATCATTCTTGAATTCTAAAGTCTTATAACATTTTATAATCATGATTGAAATTTGATTGAAATATTTTGGTTGAAATTCAGTAGTTGTGAATCACTTTCCCTTGTCGTTCGAAGAGCGTTGACAAACAAAACAAATAAAGGAAAGTCAGGCAAATGAAAAACATTTGTCAAACAACTTGTTGTCGTGTAACTGTTGTGACCGCCAGAGACGCTCAAGAACTTCAACTCCAAAATTTGCGAAAGTAGAGAGAAAATAAAATCACAAGATGTTATGCCTACAATGTCACTCTATATATTCAACTCATTACCAGTCGCAATCATACATCATTGCTCTTTAACAGAAATAAATAACCTCGCGTTCAAAATTAAAATTATTTCATAAATTTGTGTTGTGTTGTATTCATGTGTAAATCTTTAGTGATTTTTGCGTATTTATGAATATATTTAAATATTCAAATGCGAAATCACCGATTCTTTACATAATTTTTTTACATTTAATTTTAATGCTTATTTCGTACAACTTTTATATTTGTTAATTCTTGAATGTTTTAAATATTTTAATTTTTTACTTTTGTAACATTCATCGCATACATCTTTACATGAATTTTTAAATATTTTTAGCAAAAAGTTATAAAATAACCAGCTGTTTTTAAAAGGATATAATATTTCAAACGTGATAAATGTGGCATTGATTCTATAAATAATGTATTCTTCTCGTTCAGCAAAAGTATCCCATAAATCTCAATAAAGAGAAATTAGAGAGAAATTAGTTTTCAATATTAGATTGAAATGTATTAAATCTCATTTTATATATATATATTCCAATTTTATCCGGATTAAAAAATCCAGTACGCGTTGATGCGAGGTGCCAAAGAGGAAAATCGTTATAATTAAAAGATTAATATTGCCGCGCGCACGGTATATTAATTGCATATCCCTTAACGTCTAACTTTTCCTCGAACTTATTCTGAGCGACGGCTACTCATCTGTCGCGGCAAGAGTGTATGAGATGATGAATCACACGGGTATACTAGGCGAGCGCGCGGGATTATAAATTCGAAGTCGTATCGCGCGCGAGTACTCATGGATGACGGATGGAGGCATTTATGGATTTAAACATACGGGGTTTCCACACTTCATTATGTATTTACGGCTTGTCAGCGTGATATCATTCCCCTCCCCTCCCCTCTCCCCCCCCCCGTCACTCCTGCCGAGGACTAAACCACCTCGCGTCGCAATTGGAATACTTTATCAGTGTGACTAAGTGTATACGGGGCACACCCCCTGACGATTAAGCGTATCGCTCACGCTCCTATTTACGTGCGTATTTTTTCATTTAGCGTGATCCAAGGCACGGTGAGCGCCGGCCCGGTCGCGGTCTTTCCGGGTTATCTGAATCTCTTTAACCGCGCCACGGTCGCTAGGGCGGTACTATTACCGGATTATTCGACCTTTTTTCTTCTCTTTTCTCTTTCTTTCCTTTTTTTTTTTTTGTAAAATACAATTTGCGAGATTAGAGCGCCCTGGGTAAAGTAACAACATCTATTTACTTAACGCGCTAAGCGAAATAACGTTAAAATATATAAACCCGTTACGGGGGGGGGGGGGAAGGGGGTGTATGCAGCGCGAACCTACGCGCGAGCAAAAAGGAAAAATTCATAGTTATATGCGTCCTCTTGCCCACTCTTTTTCTCTCTTCTATGGGAATACCGGGGAAATAATATAGGCGATAGACGGCGAAGTCTTTCGGAGTTGTCCGCGAGAGAATGAAAGATCTAAATAACCGTGCAGCCGCTCGTTTCGTGAGGGAATCCGTGAGGGAGAGATCCTTTCTTCGTTCCAACAGCGTACTATCTGTTGAAATTTATGCCCGCGCTAGTCCCATGCAAGCGCATGTGAGGAGCGGCTAGACTCTGACTGGTCTGTTCTCTTATTTGAATAAGTATTTTTTTTTCCGCTGCCTGGTATCACGCGCGCGAGTCCGTTTCACAAGGATGAAGCATCGTTGTTAAATAACTGAAAAGTAGTATTCCGAAAAAGGTCCGCCTATAAAAGAATTTCAGTGACGAGATGGATTGCTACATAAATCATTATTCTTTATGGCTGACCGATTAAAAATGCGGCGCCGTATTATTGGCGAAAGAAAAAGAATTTGCTGAACAGTATAAAAAATAAATGTTAACAATATTAAAATAAGAAAGTGTTATTAATTTGAAGAGTTAATGTTATGTTTAACCAAAAGTAAGAACAAGATCTGTCAAATCCGCTTAATATTTGAGATTTTGAACAAAGACTTTCCTCTCTGGAAATATTTTGCCTTATTCATGCGACGCTTGGAAAATGGATGACTAAATAAAAAGACAGCTTGTTCGAATCTCTACTTTCCGTTTCGGAACATTTCTAAAGATTTTTCCGAAGCACCCTCTCGCGCAAGTCGGCCGTAGCCACCGACCTTCCGGGTGGAAAAGCGGAGGAAGAAAATAGCGCCAAAAGGAAACGCCGGTGACAAATCCCCTTGTACGGGACATGTACGGGAATTCGGAAAGAGTAGCGAACGAACGTCCGGTAAAACCGATAATCGAATCCGCGACCGAGAGAGAGAGAGAGAGAGAGAGTCGTATCTTCCTTCGCGGAAGCGCGGACGACATCGTTCATAGAGAGATTTCGCCGTTTCGGGCGGAACGGAATCGATCGGTCGCTCCCGTAGGTTTGTGCGGCGCGACGAAACCGCGGGCTTGATGTCGTGCACGAGTCGTCCGCACTTTCACTCACAAAAGCCTAAGCTCTCTGAGATAGGAGGTCGGGACGAGATTAACGACGAAAAACTGTATCGCGTCACGAAACGCCGCGGGCATTAGCATACGGACGAAGGGCGCGCCGCGTGTTCGAGAAGGCCAGCTCGAACGGCGCACGGCGACGTGCGAGACGTACGGACGGACAGGATGGACGGGCAGACGAAGAGGTAAGTAGGTGCCACGAAGAAGTTGACGTTTCTCGTGCATGCACCGTGCATGCAGGCCGGCTGCAGGCCTCACAGGCGGAGCTTTCGCGCTGGAAAGACCGCCTGCAGACCGCCCCCGTGTGTGTTTCGTTTCATCGTCCTCGATGTGGCGTGCAAGAAGGCCTGCGAATAAACGCGCTCCCGGATGGCGGTTAACGCCGAGCACCGGTCGGCCGTGTTTACCGCAGCTGGATAACGTCGGCGTCTCAATGGCGAGTTCCTGGACGGGGCAGGTACGTCTCCTACGACTACGTACTCCCCGCGTGCGTGGCATTTGCGAGAGAAAATGTCCCGCGGCAAAATGGCAAAAGAGGTCAAAGTGATTTTCGCAAATAGTAAATTTGTGGTGGAGAATATATGATTAGTAACGGTAAGAATTTCACACTTTTCAAGATGCGACTGGCGCA